GGGGGGGGGGGGGGACGAGTGGCCTCTTTCCTCGTCGCTGTCAGGCTGGGGACGGTGCTAGAGGGTTCTGCGAGTGCCTGTGGGTTCTCTTGTCCTGCCCTAAGCAGCTGGGGCTGCAGATGGGCTGTCCAGGTCTCCTCCAAGCAGGTTAAAATCCGAGTGAAAACAAGTGATGGCAATGCTACGTCAGGATTGCTGACGCTTCCGCGGTGTTCGCCAGGTGGAGGCAGGCGGAGTGCTTTACATACGACTCAGTGACGTGGTTTGTCTAGTGTACTCTGTGATGGTCGCCCAATGACGGAATCGCTTAATGGCACTTTTCTTAGAGCGTGTCCCAGTCGTTCAGCAGCACATGACTAATTCTCACAGTAACCCTAGGACAGTGATGGTGAACCTATGACACGCGTGTCAGAGGTGACACGAACTCATTTTTTTGGTTGATTTTTCTCTGTTAAATGGCATTTAAATACATAAAATAAATATCAAAAATATAAGTCTTTGTTTTACCATGGTTGCAAAAGTCAAAAAATTTCTCTATGTGACACGGCACCAGAGTTAAGTTAGGGTTTTTCAAAATGCTGACACGCCGAGCTCAAAAGGTTTGCCATCACCGGCCTAGGACGTGGCAACTGTCAATCCACTGTATAGGTGAGGACACAGGCAAGAAGCCAGGCCTTTCCCTGCGGTCACACAGCCAGGTGAGCCCAGGCATCAGGCTCTGACCTGTGCCCTCACCACGCAGACCACTGTCCGGGAGCGCAGGTGTGTTTCCATCATTAGAGCGTTGACTGTGTCCATTCTGGGCCCTGCTGCAGCAATGCCGGGATGCAGGAGCTCCAAGGAGGTTTGGGCGCAGCCCCCGACAGCAGTGGCCGCCGAGGTTAGAGAAGCGGAGGCTCCTGCCGGGGCCTTCACAGGATCGGGAGTCGGTGGTGCTGACTCCCTTTTTTTAGGAGGTGTTTTGCCCCTTTCATGGGCCAAAGGAAGGTTGCGTGTGGGAGAAGACAGTAAAGCTGCATTATTTTGGGATATTCAGCTGATGATAACTTGTGCGTGACTTCACTGAAATAGAGACCCGCTGTACTCTTAGGTGGTTATCTCCGCCTCCTTGCGTTCCCGGAGGCAGAAGAGTTGAGACTGTCCTTTCACTTTTCTGCCTCCCCTCTCCTCCCCACCCTCCTGTGCAGGTACCTTGAGGTGATGCGGAAACTCCAGAAAACATACAGGATGGAGCCAGCCGGCAGCCAGGGAGTGTGGGGCCTGGATGACTTCCAGTTTCTGCCCTTCATCTGGGGCAGCTCACAGCTGATAGGTACTGAGAGGCCAGGCACCCCTCCGCACACAAAGGTTTGAGAGCGCACTCTGTGTCCCTCCTCTGTCCCTCCTCCGTCCCTCCTGCCCAGAGAGTGACCCCTGGCAAAGCACATGTTAGACTGGCTATCGCTGCCGATCTGCTGCACGCCGGCGTGGCAGGCTGCGGAGGCGGAGGCAGAGTTCCGCCGAGATAATGGATGGGACACGGGCCGGAGCAGCGGCCCTTGCCTGGCGCATAGTGGACTGGTGTGAAATGCGCCCCACTCCTGGCAGCAGCTGTGGGGTTTTATGTTGAAAATCAGGGGCTCTTTGACTCGTGACCAGTGTCATCCGCTGTCGTCATTGAGCCACCTGTCAGGGGCCCATCAGGGAGCTGCCACCAGGTGCTGGGCAGTGGGCCGCGTGCTGTGGGCCTGCTCTGGTGGCCTCCGCTTTCCCTGGGCCAGCAGAAGGGGGTGAGTGCAGTGATAACTGCCTCGGCGTAGGTTGAACTGCCTGTGACTGTCAGTAAATGGCCATGTGGTGGGCACTGCTCTGTGCCAGGCCCTGTCTGCGTGCTCAGGTGGGTTATCGCCCCAGGCCTCTCGGAGCCTGCGGACCATTAGCGGACCCTGCGCAGGCACCGCCCAGCGCTTTCTGTGATTGGCAGGCGGCACCAGCAGCCCTACAGGGAGGCGCTGTTCTTGTCCCCGTCGCACAGAGGAGAGAACTGAGTCACACGGTTAGAGGGCAGCAGACCCGCAGCTTGTTCCACTGGACAGACACACGCACCAGGCCATTGACTGCTCCTGTGAGGTCCAGTGTCCAGGGCACACAGGCAGGACTGGCCCTGGGGGGGGTGTGGACCGTGTGGGCAAGGTGGCATGAGCACCTGGTTCTGAACCCCGGGGCTCTTTGCTGTTCCCAGATCACCCGTACCTGGAGCCCAGGCACTTTGTGGATGAGAAGGCCGTGAACGAGAACCACAAGGACTACATGTTCCTGGAGTGTATCCTGTTCATCACCGAGGTGAGGGGAGGGGTGAGGGAGACGCCGCGGCAGCCTCCGGGCTGGAATAAACAGAGATGGTGGCTTTGGACAGAGGAGCCAGAACTGCTGCTCAGAGATGGCAGGGCTGGCCCGGAAGGCTGGTCATTGAAAAGGAAGCCCCACTAGGCCTCTCTGAACAGCTGTCAGCTTCTGACCGTCCAGGGTCTCCTCCCCTAAGTTGGCCTCCTGGGTTTCTACATGACTTGCTCACTAGCAGACTCAGGGACTGAAGCGCAGGTTTGCAGGTGAGGTGTGTCGGCATCTTGCAGGCGGGGCCCAAGGGTCTGTAGAGCTCCGTGTGAGCGGCTGTGTGGGATGAAGCCGTCGCAGGAGCTGGGGAGATGCTGGAGTGGACGGCAGGACAGATTCCTCTGAAGGGACACGTCTGTCAGGGCCGGAGGACGGGCAGGTGCAGGGCCACGGGTGAAACCAGCAGGCCTGGGCCTCCCGCAGTGCAGCCTTGGACTGCTTCCTCACGATCGCATTGGGAGCTTGTTAAAACGCACATCCCTTGCCTTGGCTGGTTGCTCAATGGTTAGAACATTGGCCCTCGGACCGAGGGGTCTTGGTTGGATTCCCAGTCAAGAGCACATACCTTCATTGCAGGTTCAGTCCCCAGCGAGAGGCAACCAATCAATGTGACTCGTTCTCTCTCCCCCCCCTCCTCCCCCTCCCATCCACTCTGTCTAAAAAAACCCCAAAAAACAAAAAGAGAATGGAAAAAATACACTTCTCAGGCGAGGATTTTAAGAAAAGCACATTCCTGGGCTCCTCCCCAGCTTTCAGAATCAGTCTTGGAGGACGAGAGCCAGAGTCTGTGTTAAACACACTTTTCAGGTGGCTGCACATGAAAGTTGCGAACCCATTGCTCCCAGGGCCTCTGCCAGGGGGGCCTGCCATTTCCTGCCGGTACTGCCCTCCCCCCGCTTCCACAGGGCTGGCTCGCTGGCTGGAGAAGATCTGTGTCCGCTCTCTTTCCTGATGCTCACATGCAGGCCTGCTGGCCCCGGGGTTGCCCCTGGCACACCTGTGGACCCCTACCTGTGGGGCTGCTGACCTGGCTGCCCGTTCTGAGCGCCCTGAAGAGGGGGAGAAGCCTGGTTAAGCAGCTGGGGCTCCAGGCTCCTCCTGGTCAGCATTCAGCTCAGGCTTCTGCCCAACTCCAGAGGCCAGAGGGGAATGACATGTTTTTCCAAGTCAGCAAATGGACCTGGACTGACGGCTGGGCGGCCCCACGTCATTTCAGAGATCTGCTGCCTTCAGCAGTGTAGCCGCCCAAGGTCGGCAGGACTGCGGGCAGCCTGGCTCACTGCTGCGAGGGCCAGTCACGTGCTGCTCCCTCCAGAGTGGAATGCAAGGGTCGCAGAGCCTGGGGGACCCCAGGAGGAGCTGGAGGAGCAGGATGGGGGGAAGGGGTGCACGTGTTATGCTGGCTTGGCGCACGTGGGGTAAGAAGCTAAACCAGTGGCTGCCAACCGGTCCGAAAGGTTGGCGACCGCTGGTTTAAGGAAACGTTTGGAGCAGCGGTTGCCAACTGGTGGTCCGCGACCACTGGTGGTCTGTGAGGTCCGAGAGGTTGGCGACCACTGGGCGCAACTGTTTTGGCCCCATGGTGGTGGGCCAGTCCCTGGTCCCTGTCGATACCTAACAAGGAAGGTGAGGCCGAGCTTCAGGGAATGTGGGAATTGACTTCAGGTTAAACTTTTGTTTTTTGTATTTTTGTTTGTTTGGTTGGTAATGGTGGTATAAAAACTCAAAGTTTGGGACCCAGTTCCTCTGCTAGAGAAAAATCCTACAGTGGCCACTAGGTGGTGCTAAAGGCATGCCAAGCTTGGAGGTGGTTTTAACATTTAACTGGGGGAGAGGCCTGAACTGGGAGGGGGTCTTCTCGGGGTCCCACACCTTCTCTGCACAGCCCGTTTTCACGTTGGGTTGGGGCTCGGGTGTGGTAGTAAACATGGGATGCTCGCCGGGTGTGCCCAGGGCTGAGGTGACCGGTGAGGGCCCATTTCACCCCCCTGGCTTGGCTGCTGATGGCAGCATCTACGCTACCCCAACCCCTACCCCCTGCCACCTCAGACCAGCATTTTGTAGCCCCTGAAGGACGAGTGAGTGACCTGGCCCGGCACACCCTGACACAGGGAGGCCCGAGGCCTGACACTGGCACGCGGGGACCAGGCGGCCGGTGTGCGGCTCTGTGTGCTTTGTCCGGAAGGGGCAGCGTCCCTCGGTGGGGCTGGTGCAGTTGGAGATGAAACAAAACAAGTAGGAGATGGAACCGGGCCTCTCCTCCGGCTGCTCTCTTCCTGCCCTGCTAGCCCTGGGCATCCCGCCTGGCAGAGCTGCTGTGGCGTCCGAAATGCCGCCCTGCGCCTTTAAGAGCAGGGCAGGCAGGAAAGAATTTCAGTTTCAATCTGGCTTCTAAATTTGGAGTTTTGGGAAGGGAGGGATCAGATTTCAGCTGGAAGGGAAGGAGCTGACAGGAAGGCGCTGTGCAGAGCCTCCCCCACCCGCCCCATCCCCCCTCGGTTACTGACAGAGGAACCATTTACAAAAGGCCGATTCTCCTGGGAGTGGAGAGGCAGGAACGCAGCGTCTGTGAGTAATTTCCTGCTCAATATGGCTGCTCTGACTCACACGATTCCCCTGGGGTCACTGCGGGCCTGCAGCCGGCTTGCTGGTTCTCGCGCTCTCTCTTCTCCCTTTGTGGCTAGAAGGAGCTAGTTTTTTTTGTCTTCTTGCCCCATTCCTTCCCCCTCATCTGTTTTCCTTTCCCAGAGTTGCAAGTCTCCTTTTGAAGGACTTAGGGAGACCTTGGGAGGCAGCTCTGGCTTTTTTCTGGGGGAGTCAGGGCCACTGGGGCTCTGGATCTCGGCCCCCTGGCTCTGCAGCCCGTGCCCTTAGGGTGAGGCTGGCCCAGGAGGCAGAGCCTGAGCCCTTGCTGAGCAGGCCCCTGCGGCTGCTGTGGGACGAAACCACAGGGTAGCAGCAGGGTCCTCCTGATGGTGTGCGCATGGCACCCTGACCAGAGTGAAAGTGGTCCCCCTCTCCTGTATCCCTGAGCTCAGGTCCTGGAAGTATGCAAGAGAGGCCTGGAGCCCAGCCCCGTCCCCAAGGGCACAGAGCCTGCGGAGGGGGCGGGGCCAAGGGGAGGGAAGGCTGGGGTGGAGCCTGCTTGAGGGGGGCAGTTGGAACCAAGATCCCTGAAGGCCAAGCTCCTGCAGGCTGGGGCTCCTGGCTACCCCCCTCAGATAGAGGAGGGGGAAGATTCTGGGTGAAGGGACTGGCCCAGGAGCAACCCTGTGGGTACCAGGGTGGATTTTGTCTCTCTAATGCAGCGGTTCTCAACCTGTGGGTCGCGACCCCTTTGGGGGTCGAACAACCCTTTCATAGGGGTCGCCTAAGACCATTGGAAAACACATATATAATTAGATATTGTTTTTGTGATTAATCACCATGCTTTAATTATGTTCAATTTGTAACAATGAAAATACATCCTGCATATCAGATATTTACATGACGATTCATAACAGGAGCAAAATTACAGTGATGAAGTAGCAACGAAAATAATTTTATGGTTGGGGGTCACCACAACATGAGGAGCTGTATTAAAGGGTCACGGCATGAGGAAGGTTGAGAACCGCTGGTCTAATGCCTTGGGCTGCGGCCTCACTGCTGGAGGAAGGAGCCTGTTGTACTGAATTTGGGGGGTGAGACAGGCTTTTGGGGGACTTGGGTCAGGAGAGAGAGATGACAGTTTTGTAAGAGTTCCCCTTACTAAAGAAGTGGAAAGGCCTGTGGGGTCACCTGGCAGAGGCCACAGCCAAGGGCAGGGCTGGGGGCGGTGATGCCCAATATGCAGAGAGAGCTTTGGACCCCTCCTTCCTCCCCAGAATAGCTCTCCCTCAGCCCCACCTCCACGCACAGCCTCGTCTGGAATCTTCCACACTCTCGGGGTCCAAGTCGACGCTTCCTTGCCAGCTTAGCCTCTTTGCTTTTTAAACTCTTTCTTCTGAAGCCCTGTTCCCCCAGCGTCCGTGCTGCTCATCTGCCAAGGAGGGCGCAGCACTGAGGGGACTGAACTGCTTGCTTGTTAAATGCCAATGTGCTGGCCTCGTGCTGAGGGGCACACTCGAGCCCACACTTCCCGCTTCCAGCGTTGTGGTGTCTGATGCCCCGAGGACTCCATGACCATGCTGCTTGATGCGGTTTCTTCCTTCCCAGAGGCCAGCTTTTTGGCCAGAGGAGGCACCGGAATGGAGCTGTCCTGCGCCTCCTGCCTGTCCCTTGCTGGTGTGGTTCCCTCCCTTTCATACTTCCTGGCCGGGTCAGGCCGGTTTTCTGAACAGACCTTCCTCCTGGATCTGCAGCAGGTGCCCTTCCTCCACCTCTGCAGTCGGTGCCTGGGTTTGGTCTTACCCAGTTTGGCCCTCCCCCAAACCCACCCCTCCCTGGGCTCTTCTAGCTCTGCCAGTGGCAGGCGCAGGCCAGGTGCCCAGTGCAGAGCCCACCCTGTGTGGGGTGCTGGGCTGGGGAAGTGGGGGTGGGTCCCCATGCTGTCAGAGGCACCCTGAAGCCCTGGGGAGTTTGGGTGGAGATTTTATTTTTCTGAGGCTGCTGGGTTTGGTGGGTGGTGGGAATCAGACTCCTCCCTTTTTGTGGCTGTGGAAGAAAGAGGTTGACTAGGGATTATGTTTCCCAGTGGGTCTTGCAGGCCAAGAGGGACCCTGTCTGTCCGTTAGTGCGCCTGTATGTGTGTGTGCCCCACAGGCAGTTGCTGTGGCCTGGTGCCCATGTGTGCGTGTGGGGGTGTGTGTGAGTGCGTGCATCTGTGTGCATCTGTGTGTGCGTGCTTGACCTTGCCATGGGGAGCAGGGCATGGGCTCCCAGGGGCCCACCTTTTCAGCTGTGGACTCTCTTTTCCAGATGAAGACGGGCCCCTTTGCTGAGCACTCCAACCAGTTGTGGAACATCAGCGCTGTCCCCACCTGGTCCAAAGTGAACCAGGGCCTCATCCGCATGTATAAGGCCGAGGTGAGGGGGGCTGGCTGGGGCCCTGGGTCCGGGGCTGCTGTTCCCCCACCCCCACTCCACTGTTGGGCTCTGAGTTTGGGCCAGCCCTCTGACACTTGAGGCCTCAGAATCTCCATCTGTGGGATGGGCTTTGAGAAAAGCACTGGACGGAGGCCCAGGCTCTGCTGCCGGGGTGTGCTGGAGGGAAAATCTCCATTCCCACTGGTCAGAGGCCGGGGCCCTCGTGGCTGTCACCATGGGACCCAGACGGTGACGAGCTTGGAAAAGGGCATCATCCTTGGAGGCATCTTCCAACTGGTGCTTCTCTCACTGGTATCTGGTCTCTGGAGGGTGGACCTGGCATTTTAAAAAATGTGTTTTTACTGATTTCAGAGAGGAAGGGAGAGGGAGAGCGAGACATCGATGATGAGAGAATCATTGATCCGCTGCCTCCTGCATGCCCCACACCCAGGGATCAAGCCCACAACCCGGACAGTGCCCTGCCCGGGAATTGAACTGTAACCTCCTGGTTCATAGGTCAACGCTCAACCACTGAGCCACGCAGGCCAGGCCGGAGCTGGCATTTTTAATGACCACTTGAGGTGGTCTTCCCCCACCCCCGCTGCGGGGTGGTGGTGGTGGTAGGGCAGTTGCTGGGCTTCTGAGGGTGTCCCCTGCCTTCTTTCCTTGTCCTTCTTGGCACCCTTCTCCCAGCCAAGGAGGTGGCTTTTCTCTTGCAAGTAGAGAGGAGACGTTTTATTCTACCCTGTCCTTTCCACAGCTCCTTCCACGTCTTGGGCAGAGCAATCTGAGCTGCTTGGCCTCGGGCCGGGGAGGGCCTGGTGTGAGGTCCCTCACCTAGAGCCCTTGGACCCCAAAGTCCCCTCCTTTCACCTTAGGCGGGGGTCTGAGTGTTATCTGTGGTGCCCCCTCTCGACCCTTGGCCCTCTGGCTGCCTCCGTGGAGCGGGTTCTGTCTTGGGGCCACGGCATTGCACCCGGCACTCAGCCCAGCAGCAGGCAGGGCGGTCAGCGGGTTTGGGGTTTGGTAGTACAAAGGCTTTCAGTTGGCCTGGCCCCCTCTGCCTGGCCCTGAAGGAGTTAATGGCACTGGAACTGACCGGTCTGGCCCTCTCTTTCCTTTCCGCCCCTCCCCCTCCTGTCCTTTTCCTCTGGACTTCACATCCTGTGTTTAGGTTCCAGCCCACATACCTCTCTAATCTGAGAGAAGCCTTAGCTGGGCTCACAGGCCCTCTCCCCATCTCTGCCTGGAGAGCACCACCCTCTGGGGGTGCTGTTGTTTCTGACTGCCCTCCCCCCCACCCCCAATCTCTCAGTGGGTGCTGATGGGGAACTCTGTCACCCTGATGAGCCCTCACCCCTGCTGGCGGCTGTGTGCAGTGTGGGAGGAGCATATGGAGGAGCGCAGGGCCCCTCGCACCCCACCCCCACTCCTGGGAAGTGCCTATCACAGGCAGGACTCTGGTGCCTTTCCTGTTTGGGTTCTTTAGATGCTGTCCTGCAGGCTCTTAGTTGAGTAACTAAACTTATCCTGACATGGGCCCTCAAGGGCAGGAGACCCGCCACCCTTCTGCACCTGCCCTTCCAGAAAGGCCAGTGAACTCTGGTTGACAGAGGATGAGGGAGGAGCAAACTCAGATCCAAAAGGCGATAGTGTCGTGAGGACGGACAGTCCTGTGTGGCCGTTGTCAGTGTTTCTATGGATGTGGAACACAAGGAGGGCAGGGACCAAGACTACCTGCAGCTGGGACCAGACGGAGGGAGCATGAGCAGAAAACACGGGAAATCCCAGCTCGGGTGCACGCAGGCGCAGTGCGAGCTTGCAGCCTTGCCAGGCACAGGGTGGCGGCCAGACTTCTTTGTGGGAACTCAGCGACCTGAGGAACGCCGGGTCTCTGTGATGGGTTGCACCTTGGTCTTTGGTCCCTGGGTGTCTGTGGGGTCCCAGGCACCCTGCCCGGAGAGCCAAGGGAAGGACTTGCTTTTCCAGACCAGCTCAGTCTGCGGGGAAGCCAGTGCTGTCAGAGGCCCCGCCCTGGGCGGCTTCAGGATTTGCAAGCGGCTGCGCGGCCTGTCCCAGGTCTCTGTGATGGTTTGCACCTTGGTCTTTGGTCCCTGGGTGTCTGTGGGGTCCCAGGCACCCTGCCCGGAGAGCCAAGGGAAGGACTTGCTTTTCCAGACCAGCTCAGTCTGCGGGGAAGCCAGTGCTGTCAGAGGCCCCGCCCTGGGCGGCTTCAGGATTTGCAAGCGGCTGCGCGGCCTGTCCCAGCCTTCCTCGGGTGGCGGGCCGGTCCCTCCTGTGCTGCTCTCTCGAGTCACCAAGCCCA